CGAGCGTCTCCGGCACCGCCGCGGCGGCGCCGGCGCCCGCGAGCCGCGCGAGCCAGGGCGCGCGCGCGTCGCCGCGCTCGCCGGCCGCCGCGGCCGCGCCCGCGACGACGCGCGCCGGGTGGCGCCGCTCGGCGGCGCGGGCCGCCGCGGCGCGCGTCCTCGCGCGGCGCAGGCCGCCGGCGACCGCGCGCGCGGCGAGGCGCGCCGCGACGGCGCCCGCGGCCGCGGCGGCCTCCGCGGGCGACGCGGCGCGCGGCGGCCGCGGCGGCGCGGGCGACTCGGGCACCGCGGGAGCCGGCTCCGCGTCGACGTCGAAGCGGGCGACGTCGACGGAGTCCCGCGCCAGGGACTCCGTGCCGAGCTCGGGCGACGGCGGCTCGCGCGTCGGCGGCGGCGGGCCCGGCGGCGGGCTCGGCGTCCGCGACCGCCCGGCGGCGGCGTCCCCCGCGGCGCGCCGCGCGCGCTTCGGCGCGGCCCGGGCCTTGGCGACGGCCATGGCGTGCGCCGAGAGCCTCCAGGCCGTCGCGAACTGGCGCCGCACCTGGGCCGACGCGTCGACGGTCATCTCGTACGCGCGCCGGCGGCGGCCGGCCGCGGCGGCGCCCGCGGCGCGCGCGTCGACCTCGCGCCGGCGCACGACGCAGCCCGCGCCGCCGACGAGGTCGCCGAAGCGCCGCCAGCAGTCGTCGTCGAGGCCCAGCGACACGGGCAGCACGAGCGTCGCCGTCGCGCCGCCGCGCAGGTAGGCGGCGACGAGCGCGAGCGCCGCCTGGAGCCGCTCCTCGTCGGTCTGCGTCCGGAAGCGCGTCGTCGACGTCGCGTCCGTGATCTCGAGCGTGTTCCACCAGGCCATGACCTGCAGGTAGTCGCGGGCGACGGCCTCGGCTTCTCCGGCGCTCTCCACCATGTAGAGAAACGATCGGGCTGCACCGTCGACCGAAAAAATCCACGGTGCGGCCCAGGTGCAGCCCGCCCGCTCCAGTGGCGCGCATAGAAGTCGTCTAGGGCGCCGTCGCCGCCATGTCCGACTCCGACAGCGACAGCGACAGCGACAAGGAGGACAAGTTCGATGGCAAGGACCTGGACCCCATGCTCCAGAAGGCCTGCGTCAACAACCCGCGGCTCCAGCAAAAGCTCAAGAACATGAAGAAGATCCGGCGCGAGCAGGAGGAGGAGAAGCGCGCCATCCTCAAGTCGGGCCGCATGGTCAAGTCGTGCACGTGGCAGTGGACGGACTGGAACGACCTCGGCGAGTGCCTCGGCAACGAGGTCCACGTCCACATCCAGCTCCCCGCGGGCACGAAGCGCGAGCGGCTCAAGGTCAAGACGCTCCGCCAGCTCATCGAGGTGAAGCTCCTGTCGACGACGGAGGGCGCCGACTCCGGCTGGCACCCCAAGGCCCTCCCCACGGCGCCCGAGGCGGCGGCCGCGGCCCCGGAGGCGGCGACGCCGCCGCCGCCGCCCGAGCCCGTCGCCATCGGCGACCGCTACGTGTCGTACGCGTCCGGGCGGCACAAGGGCGATTCAACGTCGCTTCAACGTGAGTGTTCCGCGCGCGCGCGTTCCGGAAACAGCACCCACGCTTCGAGAGCGCTCCGAGAGATGATCGCTCGTCCAAAAATCAGCCGAAACGAGCGGAACACGACCGAGATCGGAGCCTTTGAAGTTGGGCATGTCGCACCCTTGTGCTGCCCAGGTACACGTCCATGTTCGCCAAGGGCGAGCGCGCCAAGGCCATGGACATCCGAAACGAGCTCGAGGCGCTGAAGGACAAGGGCCAGTACGAGGAGGCCATCGACCTCCGGGACCGCCTCCGGAGCGTCTGGTCCAAGTGCTCGCGCGCGGTCATGCTCGACGTCACGGGCGCCGCGGCGAAGAACGGATCGCGCCACGCCCTCGCGCCGGGCGTGATCGACGCGCTCCGCGACGACCTCAAGCTCGCGGCGGCCGAGGACCGCCTCGAGGACGCGCTCAACTTCCTCACGGCGCTCAACGCGTCCGGCAGCGGCACGGGCCAGTCGTCGGACGCCGCGGCCGCGGCCGCCGCGGCGCCGCGGCGCGGCAAGGCCCTCGGCGCCAACTCCTTCGGCCACGCCGCGCGCCGCGACGCGTCCCGGGTCGCGTCGTCCGCGCCGCGGAAGCTCGTGACCGCGCCGGAGCCCAAGAAGCTCGACACCGTGCTCCTCCGCGGCGACCTCTACGGCGAGATCGAGAACCAGGGCACGGTCTGGCACCTCGACGACGGCGTCCTCAAGATCGAGATGACGAAGATCTCCGCGACGACGGGCACGCCGGGCCAGGGCGGCTTCGAGTGGCCCTCGCTCTTCAAGACGGACAAGTTCCGCGAGAACAAGGTCCGCCCCCAGAAGATGATCGGCGGCGCGCCCTCCTAGGCGCGGGGGCGTGCCTCCGGAGAGCATCCTGCGCGCGACGGCGCGGGGCATAGGTAGGGGTACAGGCTGGGCGCTTCCCCTATTCTCTCGAGGTGCGACGGGCCGTCGACGTCGGCGCGGCCCACCCGGGGCGACGCGCCGATCGGCTCTGAGGGGTCTTTCGGGTGAATCTACTTAGCCTAGACGTAGCCGCTGAAACCGACGGAGTCCTCGAGGAGCCTGACGACCTCAGCGAACTGCGCAGCAGCAATTTTGCGGTCTTCCAGATATGCTTGTAATTTTAGTTCTGAATAGTCAGGAACGGATCTTGTCGTGTTGAAGCCCACAGCGAGCTTCAGAACCGGTATTCGGATCGTCCAGTCCTTGAAAGCATACAGTGACACATAGCGTGGTACAGGCCCGCAAATCGTGGTCATGAAACAGCGCGCCGCGTTCGCTGCGTTCCCGAACGTCATCTCCACACGTCTGTTGCCGGTCAGCACGCTGACTGCGTAGACCACTCGTCCGGCGCTCATTTGTCGTCGTGAGATCCAATGGTCGGCAGTATTGGGCGAAATCGGGCTTGGCACTCCGAACTTTACGCCACTCGCCTCGTCGAGCTCGCGCGCCTGAACGAGGATTTCGCGACCCAGGGTCTCGGCGAAGCCGCCCGCAGCGCTCCTCTGGCGCTTGCGCGTGCCCGATTCTGTCGGCTCCGATGCCATCGCGTCGTCGCCGCCGGGCTGGGCAGCCGGAGTCGAGGCGTCCTCCATAGCATATAGCGACGGCGTTGACGTAACGATGAAGATCAAGATCTCACATTGAGCTTTTAGGAATTCCCGATTGCGTCCGAGGGAATCGTCTCGCGTTCGGGCTGCCCCTTGGCTCTGTTCGCGCGCTGCCTCCGGCCCGGCATGGCCTCCGCGGCGGACCTCGAGGCCGGCGCCTGCGGCGGCGTCGTCGTCGAGCTCGTCAACGTCGAGGGCTGCGGCAATTTGAAGCGCATCAACGGGCGCTTCCTCCCCGACGAGGTCACGGCCGTCGTCGGGGGCCACGACTCGGGCGCGTCGACGCTCCTCGAGGCCGTCTGCGGGCGCCACGCCTTCCGCGGGTCCATCCTCTTCAACGGCAGCGGCCTGCACGAGGCCGGCCGCGCGTGCCGCCTCATCGGCGGCGCGGCGACGCCGTTCGCGTCCTGCCTCACGATCAAGCAGGCGCTCTACTACGCGTCCATGCTCGCCGGCGGCGGCGACGGCGCCGCCCAGCTCGGCCGCGCCGACGCGGCCATGGCCCTCTTTCGTCTGGAGCCGCTCAGGGACGCGAGGGTCGCGGACGCGGGCGCCGCGGGCCGCCTCGTCGCCGCGGCCGCGGGCTGCCTCAGCGGCCGGCCCGTCGTCCTTCTGGACGACGCGACGAGGGGCCTCGACGCCGTGGGCTGCGCCGCGCTCGCCGCGGGCCTCGCGCGCGCCGCGGGCGCCGGGCGCACGATCGCCTGTGCCACGTCGACGCCCGCCGACGGCTTCGCGGACGGCGCCGCGCGGCTCCTCGTGCTCCGCAAGGGCCGCGTGGCCTTTTTCGGGGAGGCGGCGTCGCTGCGCGCCTACGTCGAGCGCCAGGGCCTCGTGGCCCCGAGCCGCGAGCGGCCCGCGGACGCCTTTTTAAGGGCGCTCGACCGATCCGAGGGCCCGTGGCTCCGCGCGTGGTCCGACGCGTCGCCGGCGACGGGCGTCCTCGAGCCCGTGCCCCTCGTGGCCTCGAGCGTGGCGTCGCCGCCGGCGCCGCCGTTCGTCGCCGTGCTCCGGGTCGTCTTTCTGCGCGCGACGCACGCGTGGCTCGTCGACGGGTCTCGCGGCCGCGCGGCGTACGCGGCCGCGCTCGCGCTCGCGGTCTTCCTCGCCCTCGCGGGCGACGGCACCTGCGGCGCGCCCTACGCCGTCGCCGTGCTCCAGCTCGCCGCCGCGCCCGCGGCGGCCGCGGCCATCGCGGACCGCGCCGCGGCCGCGGCGGAAATCCGCGACGGCGTCGTTCCCGCGAAGGCGCTCGCCGCCGCGCACCTGCTTCTAGCGATGCTCCAGTTCGGCTGCTTCGCGGCGGTCCTCGTCGCGGGCTTCGGCGCCTACCGTCTGATCGCGCTCTACCCCTGGCTGCGATTGCCGGCGTACGCCACTCACAAAACCCCGCGGATCATCGCGTGGCTCCCCGCGCTGGGCCTCCAGTACGTCACGGGGAGCGCCCTGGGCCTTGTGGTCTCCTGCGCCTTTTCGTCGGCGTCGCGGGCGGCGACGCTGCTGCAGGTCATCGCTCTTTTTTCCGCGGCGCTCGCGCGGTCCGGCGCGCCCGCGCTGAAAGCCTTCAACGTCGTCGCCTGGGCGTCCGCGGCGCTGACGAGGGACGGCGCGCCCTGGCGGTCCGGCCTCGCCGCCGCCGGCGTCTGCGCGGCGCTCGCGGCCCTGGCCGCGCCCGCGGTCGCGGCCGCGGCCGCGGCGCCGCCGCCGCCGCCGGCGGACGACGGCCGCGCGCCGGACAAGGGCCGCGGCTACGGCACGTCCGTCGTCGACCTGGCCCACGTGCGGTCCAAGCCGCTGCGCGTCGCCGTGAAGGACCTGGCCTGCGAGGGCCTGCGGGGGGCGACGGCGGACTTCGGCGCGGGGTCGATCACGGCGCTCGTCGGGCCGCGCGGCTCCGGCGCGGCCGTGCTGCTGCGCGCCGTCGCCGGCCGCACCGCGGCCCGCGGGGCCGTGCTCCTCGGCGGCGAGCCCGCGGACGCCGCCGCGCGCCGGGGCCTCGTCGCCTTCTGCGAGGGCGGCCGCGGCGGCGACGAGATCCCGCCGGGCGCGACGCTCCGCGAGGCGCTGACGCTCGCGGCGCTCCTGCGGACGCCGGCGGCCTGGGCCCGGGAGCGCCGCGCCGCGCGCGTCGAGGCCGTCGCGCGCGCGGTCCGCGTCGACGGGCGCCACCTCGACGCGGCGCCCGCGCCGCGCGCCGCGCGCGACCGCGCGGGTTTCGCCGTCGCGCTCCTCGAGGACCGGCCCTGCCTCTGCGTCGCGGGCCTCGGCGGCGTCGACGGCGCGGGCCAGGCGGATCTCGTCGGCGCCCTCGTCGCCGCCGCGCGGCGCGCGCGGAAGACGGTGCTCTTCTGCGATAACGCGCTGCCGCACCGCCTCGCGACGCAGCTCGACGGCGTCGCTCTGATGGCCCGGGGCCGGCTCGTCCGCTGCGCGGCGCCCGGGGACGTCGAGCGGTTCCTGGACGACATGGGCGCGCCGGCGGCGCGCGACGACGACCCCGTGCGCGCCGCGGTCCTCGTCTTGGACGCGGCGGAGGCCGCGCCGCGGCTTCCGCGCAAGGGCCCAAAGGCGCCGCCCGAGGGCGCCGCGGCCCTCGAGCGGCCCGCGCCGGGCCCGGGCTTCCTCTTCCAGTTCGCCGTCGCGGTCCGGCGCCTCGCGGCGGCGGGCAGGGCGGACGCCGCGGACTACGTCATCGCGTCGTCCTGCCTCATGGCCTTGGTGGGCGCGACGTTCGGCGACGAGCCGGCGCTGGGCCTCTACGTCGCCCTCGTCGCCGGCGCGTCCCTCGCGGCGGCCCAGGCCCTGCTGCCGGGCCGCGACGGGGCCGCGCTGCGCCGCGACGTCGCCGACGGCGCCATGACCGCGACCGCGGCCGCCGCCGCGCGCGGCGCCGTCCACGCCGCCTCGGCCCTGGTCGCGGCCCTCGCGGGCTTCCCCGTCGCCTGGGTGTTGTTGGGGGTCCGCGCCGGGCCGGGCGACACGGTCCTCGCGGCGCTCGTCGCCGGCGCGCTCGGAGCGTGCGCCGCGGTCGCGGCCGCGCTGCTCGGCGCCGCGGCGCGGTCGGACCTCGCCGCGGCCCACGCGCTCGCGCCGCTCGCGGCTTTGGTCCACCTCTCCGGCGCCGCGGACCTCGGCGGCGTCCTCGCGCCGGTCCTGCGCGGCCTGCCGACGGCCTTCGCGCGCGACGCGCTCCTCCGCCTCGCGGGCCTCCGCGGCGACCGCGCGGCCGTGCCCCGCGCGGACGCGCTCGCCCTCGCCCTCTGGGCCGCGGGGCTCGCGGCCGCGGGCCTCGCCGCGCCCCGCCTGCTCGCCGCCGCGCGGCGCGCGTGAGTCTTGTCAGTAGCCGATGCTTGTAACACTTGAATCGAGCTACAATTGTAGGCCACTCGTGTAGGCGCGGGCGCCTTCGCCGAGCGGCGACGGATCCGCGAGGGCCCGCAGGAGCATCTTCTTCACGTGCGCGCAGGAGCTGGAGTACTCGAAGCCGCGGCGCTGGCGGAACTCGAGCTGCGTGAGCAGGTCGCAGGCCTCGAGCGCGCCGAGCTCGACGAGGAGCGAGGCGATCTTCTCGGGCGACCGGGACCTCAGGAGCACGGAGTCGACGAACCGAAATATGTCGAGCCCGCTCGCGGTCTTGCACTCCTCCGGGTACGCGACGGTCGACTCGTCGCGGGCGACGAAGGAGAAGAAGTCCTCGAGGAGCCAGCGGACGTCCGGGTCCGCGAAGAGCAGCTCGGTGTGCGCCGCGGACTGCGCGAGCTTGTCCTTGAGGGAAAAGGTGTAGTCGGACGCGAGGAACGCGACGGCCGCCCTGTCGCCCGGCGGCCGCCGGGGATCGCGCGCGAGCCGCGCGAGCGAGCGCAGGATGTGCGCGCCCGCCCAGTTGACGCGGCCGAGCGCCGACGCGGCGCCCCGCGACTTGTCGAGCTGCTTGCCGATGATCGTGGAGCCCAGGAACCGATTCAGGGCGATGAGCATGTCCTCGCGGTAGCCGAGATCCTCGCTCTCGGTCGCCCGCGTCATCGCGGCGTGGACGCACGCGGGCAGCAGCGTCATCTCGAAGCGGCGCAGCACCTCCGACGAGTCGCCGCACCGGTCGCCCTGGCAGAACGCGTCCACCGCGCTCCTAGTCCGGCTGAAGTCGTACGCGCCGAACCGCACGTTGACTACGCGCCGGGGCCACTCCGCGAGGAAGAGGAGGTGCGCGTTGATGACCGACTCCTCCAAGCGGCGCGCGTAGGGCGCGTACGCGCGACCCCAGCCTCCGGGGTTCCGCGACCGCAGGTTTTCCCGGAGATCGTCGAAGGTGGGATCTTCGCTCAATCCCTCCGCGAAGTGGGACCGATAAAAGGTCAGGCCGAGGAGCGCGCCGTCGAGGGCGGCGAGGACGGTCCAGGGGCGGCGGTCGCCGTAGAACGCGAACGCGGCGCCGCCCGGGAGGCACCCGCGCCGCCGGAGCGCGGCGTGGCACGCGGCGTCGACCGCGCGGATGCACACGGCCTCCGGCGGGCCCCGGCGGAACAATTTCACGCCGTCGAGCGTCCGGAAATCCCAGGCCTCGAGGAACGAGAACGCCTCCGCGACGGCGTTCGACGGCAGGAACCGGAGCGCCGAGCCGCCGACGAACGCGCCCGCGTCGACGGTCGCCACGACCTTCCGGACGCGCTTCGCCTGCGTCGCCTCGTCCGCCGTGCGCAGGAGCCGCGCCAGGCCGGCGATGCTCCGCGAAATGGCCGCGCGCCGCGTCGGCGTCAGGCAGCTCACGGGCGCATCGCCGAGCGACGCCACGGTGTGCTCGAGCGAAGGAATGAGATCCAGGGTCGAATCGTGCTCGGAGTCGGAGTCGTGCTCGGCGGTCTCCGCGGCGCCCAGGCTCGGGTCGTGCTCGGCGGTCTCCGCGGCGCCCAGGCTCGGGCCCCGGCTCACGAGCCGCGCCTGGGCCCGGGAGCGCTTCATTACTTCGCGTGCCCTGACAACGGCGCTTGCTTTCACGAAGTCAGCGCTCCATTAGCTGGCCGTGACAACGGCACCTTCACGGAAGCCTTCAACGATGCATTTACAGTGCAGTTAAACCGATCTTGCCCGCTTAGGTGTCGGCCGCGTGGACCACCCGTCGCTGCCTTCCTGCCCAAAACCCGACCACCTGCCCGACGCGCGCCACCCACCCGACGACCATGGGCGAATGCGGCTGCCCGATGGGCCCCCACGACCCGGGGTGCATTTCAGCGTCCTGCGGCTGTGACGATTTTCGAGAGATTTCGGGTGGGAAAACGATGAAAAATCGTTACCGACGTGCTTGGTAGGTGCTATTTGGGCTGCCGCGGGGGCTGCGAGGGCTTCGTCGACTGCTTCCTGCTGCCCTTCCTCGGCTCCGCCTGCGGCAAGGGCTGCGTCATCCCCGCCGCCGGCGCGGTCTGGCTGGGCTGCGACAAGCTCTGCGGCCGCGACGTCAAGTTCCCGGACCAGAGCAAGCCGAGCCGCGCGGCGAGCGGCGTCGTCACGCTCACGATCCGCCCCGTGAAGGACGTCGCGGCGTACAAGGCCGCGTACGACCCCTACGCGAAGAAGGTCCAGCAGGGCAGCGCGGGCGTGCGCGCCTTCTTCTCCTTCATCGACAAGAGCCGCGAGTCGACGTGCCTCCAGGTCGCCTGGTACGACTCGCCCGACGACCTGGCCAAGGTCGTCGCGGAGCCCGACGCGGCCGTCGACGCGTGCTACACCGACGACAAGGGCTTCGGCGCCGTCTTCGGCCTCCGCGAGCAGGAGACCAAGGACGCGCTCGCGAAGACGGGCGTCGCCTACGAGTACGGCACGCTGCCCCGCGGCTTCATGAAGACGGCGCCGCACAAGGGCTTCGACGGCGGCAACTACCCCGGCCCGCCCATGATCTGGATGTCGAAGCGCTGGGTCCAGCCCGGCCGCAACCCGGCCATCGCGTCGGCCTTCGCCAAGGTCGGCGACCTCCAGTACTACTCCGCGCCCGCGTTCCTCAGCGCCTTCGAGTACACGGCCGAGGACAACGCGGACCAGCTCTGGAGCCTCCGCTGGTTCAACGACTACGACATGGGCCACGTCGCGCACTTCCCCAAGACGCTCCTCTCCTGGATCCCGACGCGCGTGCTCTTCACCATGATCCCCAACCTCAAGGGCGGCCTCGGGGCCGAGTACCCCGTCGGCCTCTCCTTCTCGACGAAGGACAACATCGACAAGGCCATCGCCTACAACGCGGGCAACAAGGCCTACGACCAGCACTACTGGGAAGACGTCATCGGGCCCCTGCCGGACATGGGCAAGGGCCAGGAGATCTCCGCGACGTCCGCGGACAAGATGCTCCGCGACGACAAGCCCGCGGCCGCCTAGGCGCGCCCCGGCCAAGACCCTGGACGAGCCCGGCGGCGCCGCGCCGACCCGGCGGCTCGAGCGCGCCACGACGCGCCAATTCGGCAATTTACGAAGCACACCGCGCACGACCCATCGCCCCCAAGGTGCGGGCGCGGATGGAGTAACGCGCGCCCGCGAGGCAGGGGGGGCGGGGGATGATGAGGGGTGGCCCTCTAGCTCTCGACGGAGAGCTTCATGAGGTGCTCCATGAAGACCTTGAGGGAGACGTCGTCGGTGGGGATGACCTGGCCCGCGTGGATGTCCGTGGAGTTGTGGGTCACGGACGGGTTCAGCTTGCAGATGAGGAAGCGGGCCTCGGACTTGTGCTGGTCCGCGATGATGTAGCGCGGCACGGGGAAGCGCGCGTCCATGATGGCGTTGGCGTCCTCGAGGGGCTGGTGGAGCAGGTTCTTGAAGTGGACGTGCTCCTCGTGGTCCTGGTAGCCCTGGTCGCGCCACGCGGCGATCGTCTCTCCGTGGAAGACGATGACGTAGAAGAACGTGTCGAGGAGGAGGATGACGTCGGGCCGCACGCTCGACGCGTCGAGCATGGCCGGCTGGGGCGGCGCCTGGAAGGAGTAGGACATGAGCGTCGGCTGGATCATGACCAGCGAGTTCGACGCGTTCTCGCGCGTGAGCACCATCCGATAGTACGACGCCTCGTCGGGCGACGAGTTGAAGAGCTGGAGGAACTGGGACCGGCGCAGGTTGAAGACGAACTGGGGATAGACGGCGAACTCGTGGGGCAGCCGGAAGGACGACGGGTCGTCCTTGCGGTAGTCCGCGAATTTCGCGCACAAACGGATGAGCGACCGGTCGACCCACCGCAATATGTCCGGCACCTCCTCCGTCTCCGTGCGGTGCACGGCGACGCGCGCCATGAGCACGGCCGCCGCCTCCTGGTCGAAGGACCGCGCGACGGGCGCCGAGTCGTTGGGGTCGGGCTGCCACGCGCCGCAGAGCGTCGTCGACCGGAGGCGGTAGCGGCCGTTCGCGTGCTGGTACTGCGTGATGAACTGGGCGTAGCGCCGCTTGTGGGCGGGCATGGGCTGGTTGCCCGCGTTCGTGATCTCGAAGTAGACGGCCACCGTCGTCGTCGGGTCGATGCCGCCGATCGTCCACGCGTTCGTGCCGCCCTGGCCGATTTCCGTGTCCGCGACGTAGGGGCTCTTGCCCTTCTTGAGGGACGCGCAGGGCCCGATGGCGCCGGCGATCTTGAACTCGCGGGACGTGATGATCTCGAGGGTCGCGCCGAAGCCCATGACTAAAGCGCCCGCGTTGGGCCCCGGCGCGTCGGCCGCGTGGCGCCGGAAGACGCGCCGCAGGCTCTCCTTGAAGACGCTCTGCGTGAAGGAGTCGCCGAGGATGGACACGCCGCCCGTCTTGTCGATGAGCGTGCGCATCTCGTGCAACCCCACCTGGTCCAGGGAGCACGCGAAGCAGTCGACGACGTGCCCGTTCGCCGACGCGCGATCCGCCAGCCCGCCGTAGAACTTCGTCGCCGCCTTGAGGTGGGGGCAGTTGCCCTTCACGATATCCTGGTGGGACCGCATGTCCTCGGACCGCGCCTTGTCGACGACCATGCCCGGGCCCACCGTCGACGGGCCTCCCACGAAGAGCATGACGCGCGCGCCCTGCCGCGGCGCGGACGCCTCGAGCAGGCCCACGGCCACGGCCAGCGCCGCGCCCGTGCACCGCGCGGACCGCTGGTCCCCCGGCACGGGCCAGGGGTCCTTCTGCAGGTCCTCCAGGATGGACTCGACGGTGAAGGAGCAGTCGCCGACGGTCATCAGGTAGCGGCCGATCGCCGGCTCGCGGCCGCCCGCGGCCTGCTGCTGCTGGCCCTGGGGCTGGGCCGCGCCCTGGCCGCCGCGCGCCGCGCCGGACACGTTCAACAGTTCCTGGACGCGCTGCGTCGTGTAGTCCTTGGCGCCGCGGAACGCGACGGACTTGTGGCACTCGCCGAAGCCGATCTCGTGCACGAGCACGTGCGCGCCGAAGGTGATCAAGCCCACGAGCGCGTTCTCCGGCAGCAGGTTCAGCGTCTGCTGGATCGAGTCCTTCAGACTATCCAGCTCGGACTCGGGGAGGCACGTGTCGAGCACGAAGAGGAAGACGGGCGGGCCCGCGCCCCGCGCCTGCAGCTCGTACTCGACGGTCGTGAACTGGGGGATGAGCTCCGCCGGCAGGTTCGTCTCCGTGATGTTCTCGGCGTAGTGCGGCGGGAAGTGGTTCCGCCCGAGGCAGAAGGGGCAGGTCCAGAGCTTCGTCCGGTAGTCGACCTGGCAGTAGGGGTTGAGCAGCGCGCCGCACCCGTTGCAGCGGATGGGGTCGTAGATGAGCGGGGGCGGGTTCCCGATGGGCTTCAGGGGCGTGTAGAGGGCGCCGATGGGGATGACGATGCGCGTCGCCTCGAGGCGGCTGCTCGGCCACACGTTCCACGACAGCCGCACGCCGTCGCGCTCCTCCTGCGCCTGGATGCTCGAGATGTCCATGGGTCGGAGGCGGCGCGGCGCGGCCGCGACGGGCGGCGCGGCGGCGGCTCGACGAAGCGGCGGCGGCGCGGCGAAGCGGCGGCGCGCGGCGCGCGCGCACACAGACGAGGCGCTCGACGGCGACGAGGTCGCCGCGTGTAATTTTGGCCTGCAAGATGCAGTGGTCCTTGAACCTCTGAAATTGTCTTCCTGGGAGCATGGAGGTCTCGATCCAGCGAGAGCCGCTGCTGGAGGCGGACGCCGACGCCCCCGAGGAGGTACGGACGCGCCTCTGCCACGACGTCCGGCGCAGGTCCATGCGCGTCGTCGTCCCCCTGCTCATCTTCCTCCAGGCCGGGCTGCTCGCCGTGCCCATCACGGGCTGCAGTGCCATCAGCCAGCTCGTCGCCCACGTGCGCGTCGGCGACGCCGTGGAGATCGACAAGATCCAGACGGGGGAGACGCTCACGGCCCAGGCCACGTCCATGTGGCAGATCGGCGCCAAGCCGCTGGGCGTTCTTATGCTCGGCGCGGGCGTGGTCCAGCCCGCGACGCGCTTCGCGGCGCTCGCGGCCTGCTACTTCCTGAAGATGAGCGACGCGGCGCGGAGCACGATGATCCTGCGGCAGGAGGTCCTGGGGAAGACGGCCCTGTCGGGCTTCTTCATCCAGATGTACTCCGTGGACCTCCTGGGATTCGAGGCGCGCGCGCCGCCCGGCGGCGCGGCCGCCGCGGAGGTCGTCGTGCGCATCGGCGGGGTATTGTTGGCGGCGTTCCTCTGCTCCGTCGTCGGCAACATGGTGAGCCTCTGGAGCATCACGTGCCTGCGGCTCGAGGCCGAGGCCGCGAGGGAAGGAAGGGGCGTCGAGAAGCGGACGGCGGAGAAGCGCGCGCACCGCGGCCGCAAGCTCGCGCGGCGGGTTCGCCTGATCGTCTCCGGCGCGTCGTTCGTCGCCTTCGGGGGCCTCTACGCCGTCGCGCTGTCGTCGCCGGTGGCGAGGGTGCACTACGACGGTTTCCTCGCGGAGTTCCTCGTCGACCAGCCAAAGTTCGGCGTCTACGGCGTCGAGCGCGCGTCGCCCGTCACGGTCGTCGACGTCTTCCGGAATTTGGTGACCAAGGTCGCCCGGGACAATAGTTCCTACCTGGCCTGGTGGCTCGCGGCGCTCTGCTTCCTGGCGATGGGCGTCGGCGCGCCGCTCGCGGCCTTCGCGCTGTCCCACGCGGCGTTTCTGGCCACTGACCCGCACCGCGCGTCGCGGCGGCGGCGCGAGGCGCGCATGGCCTTCGCCTGGTCGTCCATCGAGCCCATGACCCTGGCGTGCCTCGCGTTCACGCCCGCGCTCAGATACATCGCCGAGGACAAGTTCGACGCCAAGTTCGGGCTCGACGCCTGCGGGCCGGCCCGGGCGGGCATCGACGAGCCGTGTTTGTTGATGCACGCGGCCTACGGGCCGGGCATCGCCGCCTTCGCGACGCTGTGGGCGCTGCTGCTCGGGACCGTGATCGTGCTCCCGCGCCTCGGCGGCGCGCCCTACCCCGCGGCGTAAAATTTCGTGTTAGGCCCGCGCGGCCTCCCGTTGGAGCTCGCGCTCGAGGAGCTCCTCGAAGCTGAGGCCCGCGCCGCCGACGGGCGCCTCGCCCTGGGCCCGGTCGGGCGCCTCGTCGGCCATCCGTTCCGCGTTCGACGCGCGGAACTCGTCGGGCACCTCGTCGTTCCAGGCCGCGAGGTGCGAGGCGGCGCCGAGGTCGTAGTTGACGAAGAGCGAGTACTGGTAGGGCAGCTTCGCGTCCTGCATCGCCGGCATGAACGGCGTCTTCCGGAGCGCGTCGCCGAGCGCGCCGTGGACGCGCCGCAGCATGGCCTCGTTCTCGCCGACGGTGGTCAAGATCAGCTTGCCGCCGCCGGGCTTCAGCGCGGACTGCGCGCAGGCCGCGTACTTGGCCCAGACGTCGCGGGTTATAAAAGGCGGATCGACGACGACGCAGTCGAACGCGTGCTCCAGATCCGCGTCGATCTTCTCGCTGTTGAAGTCGAAGAAGCGGAAGCGCGGGTCGCCGTTCCACTGGTCGTCGTAGTCGAAGCAGTAGGACGCCTGGCGCACGGCCGACGCCTCCGGCAGCGAGAAGTAGACGCTCGGCGTCGACAAAAAGGCGACGCGCAGGCCGCAGGCGCCGGACTCGAGCTCGGCGACGAGGGCGGCGAGGGTGCGAGCGCTGTACCAGTACTGGTTCAGCGACGCGACCTCGGGCGTCGCGTCGAGGAAGTCCATCGGCCGTGCGACGGCTTGGCCAAAATCGAGCGTCGGCATTTTGGCAACCTTGAATGCATCATTGTCTCGTGCAGCCCGGGCATCGGACTCGCGCCGCAGCCGCGGCCCCTGGAAGACCCGCGAACGATGGCCTTGCCGCGGCTTCACTACTCGGCGCGCAACTCGGACGTGACAACGATCAAGTCCATCATCGCGTCAGGCAATGACGTGGATGGGCGAGATGTTATGGGACGGACCGCATTGCATCATGCCGCCTTTGTGGGGCGTCTAGCCGCTTCGAACGCATTGATAGAGGCTGGTGCTACTGTCGATGCGCGAGACCATCCGGGACACACACCTTTGCGCCTGGCTGTTACGGGATCTGTTACGGGATACACACCTTTGCGCCGCCGGCGCCTGGTTACGGATGGACAAAAAGAAGTCGCAAGCTTGCTGATCGCCGCGGGAGCTGACCTGGAAGGCGGCGATAATTTTTATACACCAGCCCGCGGTGCCCTCTTCAAGGGTGATCGCACCATGCTCAAGCTCCTGCTCCGCGCCGGTGCGGTACCCCCTAACGCAGACGGCATCCCTCGCGAGCCCTATCGCGAAGCCGCGTTCGCGTTGTTCGACGCCGTCGTCGCCGCGGGCGGCTGGGACGGTTTCGTGCTCCGCCACCGCGCGATCATCAAGTCCATCGTCTCCAAGTGCGCCCCCCTGCCCGACGACTGCCTCCTCGCCATCGCCGCCTTCGTCTGCCCCCCGGGCGGCTGGTGACCACCCGCCCCTTCAGAAACAGCTAAAAAAGAACACAAAAGAACGCCCCCCTTACCTCGCTGCCGGCGGGACCTCGACGGGGTTGTCGTAGAGGAGGAGGTAGGGGAGCATGGGCGCGCCCTTGGTCTTGCAGCACCGGTCGACGACGTCCTTCCACCCCCGGCACGCCGTCGCCTCGGCCTTGTCGTGCCAGGTCCAGTGGCCGTGCTTGTCCTTGACGAAGGCCGTGTAGTGGTTGTCCTTGAACGTGACCATGGCCACGAGGTGGAGCATCCGGACCGCCGGCTCCTTGGGCGTCGCGTCCTCGAAGCACCGCCGCGCGTCGAGCGACTTCGCCGCCAGCCCCAACAACGCGCGGACGTCGGCCGCGTCCTGGTCCGTGGAGAACCAGGCCACGGAGAGCACGAGGGCCTTGGCGACCTTGTCGAGGTCGTGGACGACCGCGCACGCGCCCGGCGCGCCGCACGCGTCGCAGCTCTTGCCCGCGTGGCGGTGCGCCTCGCGGTAGACGTCCTCCAGACTCCTCGCCCGGCCCGTCTTCGCCGCGTGGACGATGGCCGACGCCGTCGCGGACCGCGCGAGCTCGCTGAGCTTGATGGGCTTCTCGCCGTTGGACGCGCCGCACGCGGCGCAGGCCGCCTGCGCGATGCGGCCCTTGGTCCGGAGCACGGCCGCGGGCGACTCGCCCCTGTGCGTGCGCCCGATCTCGTCGACGAGGACCCCGAAGACCTCGGCGACGTCGAGGTGGGCGCCGCCCGTGCCGAGCTCGCGCGCGACGCGCGCGTCCTTGGACCCGTCGGCGAGCGCGGCCCGCAGGTCGTCGATCGCGGCGTCGAACGCGCGCCGCCCGGGCCCGTCGATGCCGCCGTGCCGCTCCGCCGCGGCGTCCTTGGCCTCGATGGCGCGGCGCAGCGACGCCGACGCCGACGCGAGCTGCCTCTCGCGCTCCTTGCGGTCGAAGTGGCGGCGAAACGTCGGCGCGTAGCAGAGCGCCGCGGCGATGGCCTCGAGCGTGCAGTTCGAGCGCCGCTCGACGTCCTCGAGCCCCGCGGGGATGGCGCCGTCGTCGGCGACGGCGCGGCCGACGCCCGTCGTCGGCGGCGGGCCCCACGCGCGCTGCGCGTCCGTGACGGCGCCCGGCGGCGCCGCCGGCGGCGCGCCCCACGCGCTCACCGGGCCCCGCGGCGCGTCGTCGCCGTCGCTCGCCGTCGCGTCCGACGGCGACGCGCTCCGCTGGCCGCCCTCCCAGGCCGGCGCCGGCTCGCCGCCGATGGCCGCGAGGTTCGCCTCCCACGCCTCGGGCGCCTCGCCGCCCGGGAACGCCGCGGCGTCGCCGCCCGGGGCCGCCGCGGCGTCGCCGCCCGGGGCCGCCGCGGCGTCGCCGCCGGCGGCCTCGAGCTCCTCCCGGGCGAGCATGGCCGCGAAGGCCTCGTCGCCCGTCGTGTCCTCGCGCGGCACGTCGTCGAAGGCCGCGGCGTCGTAGGGCTCCCAGCCGTCGTCCGCGGGCGGCTCCGCGGGCGGCTCCGCCGGCGGCTCGGACGGCCGCGGCGGCGCGAGGCCCGGCGGCGGCGCCGGGGGCGCGACGGCCTCGGGCTCGAGGGGCTCCTCGTCGTAGGGCTCGTCGTCCGCCGGCGCGGCCGCCTCCGCCGGCCGCTCGGCGGCCGGAGTCGGGAGCTCCCAGGCGTTGGGGTCGCTGGGGACGTCGACGTAGTCGCCGCCGAGGGGCGGCGGCTCCTCCGGGGCGGCCGCGGGCGCCGCGTCGGCCGCCGCGGCCTCGAGCTCGCGCGCGGCGGTCTCGAGCTCGCGCGCGGCGGTTTCGAGCTCGCGCGCGACGGACGCGCTGAAGAGGGAGAACCAGGGCTTCTTGCCCCCGCCCTTGGCGGCGCTCACCGCGCGGCGCGCCGCGCGGCGCTGGCCGTCGGCGGGGAGCGCCCGGAGCTGGTCCGAC